TTAATTTCAGGAGAAACTATGCTAATCCTTTAATTATGCAGCATGCGTATCGGTCAAACTAACTTCTTTCTGCTGAAAAATACTTTGCTATCACAGGGGCTGTTGATAAATATCTGCTCAAAGAATTTATAATGTTACAGAAAAATTCTCTTCTTAAAAAAAATAGCAGAGTGGAAAACTTAATCTTTTTAAGAAAGAAACACTAGATAGGCTCAATCAACAGATCAACAGCAGGTTGATCTTGTGCCCTTGTGCCAGCTCGCTGCTGGAAGACTTTCAGGCAAAGCCCACTGGGAACAGGGTCTCCGTGTTGGACAGTTCCTTTTTTTGTTTTTTGTTTTTGTTTTTTTTTTTTGTTTTTTTTTTTTTGAGACGGAGTCTCTCTCTGTTGCCTAGGCTGAAGTGCAGTGGTGCGATCTCGCCTTACTGGGTTCAAGCAATTCTTGTGCCTCAGCCTCCTGAGTAGCTGGGACTACAGGTGCACCACCACGCCCGGCTAATTTTTGTATATTTAGTAGAGATTGGGTTTCACCATGTTGGCCAGGATGGTCTCAAACTCCTGACCTGATGTCAAGTGATCCACCTGCCTCGGCCTTCCCAAAGTGCTGGGATTACAGCCATGAGCCACGATGTCCGGCCAAAGAGGACATTTTCCAAAGGGTGTTTGGGGATTAACTGAATAGAGTCACAAATAAAGTCGTGGGTTCAGCTGAGGAATCACCTGCTCCAAGCTGAAGAAGGAACTCCTCATGGCATGGCCAAGGCTGAGTGGAGGATCCAGTATTCGCCCTGAAAATGGTACAGTTGTGGTTTGGGGGAAGACCTGGGGTTGGAATCTGGGCTGTGCCACTTTGGAGCTGTATGATGCTCATCAAATCTCAGACCTCAATATAAGACATTTTGCAAAAATAGGAATAGCAACCTCTACCTTATAAGACTGTTGTTAGGATTAAAGAGACAGTACATAGGAATGCACTTTGCAAAGTTTGAAATACATATGTAATAGTAGTAGAACTTGGCTGTTCACTCCAGTGGCTCGTGTTCTAGAGGTACATAGAACCCAAACGAGTAATTTTAGCTCATTCATCCTACCCCACTTCCCACACTACCAGATTGCCCTGGGTCTCATGGAAGCTCCAAGCATAGGCAAATAATTTCACTCGAACAAGCTGCACATAGTCTAATACATTTTAAAACTAAAAATAATTAAACCTTTCCAGTACCAGAGCCAAGAACAGAGAGACAGATCGATGGCATAGATTACAATGCCTGGAAAAAAAGATGGCGGTCTTTCAAAATCAAAAAAAAGATAGTATTGGAAAAATAGGCCAGTTAGAAAAAGCACTCAATTCATACCTCACTTTTTGAGTCAAATTAATCCTTAAGGGGTTAAAGAACTAACGTTAAAAAAAAAATTAAACCAGAAAAAGTAGCAGAAAAAGCATGACAAAACATGCTTACAGTTTTGTTGGGGATAGATAAGCATGATGAAAAAAGACACCATAAAAAATTGATAAACTTGGTGGGGGCATGGTGGCTCACGCCTGTAATCCCAGCACTTTGGGAGTCTGAGGTAGGGGGGTCACTTGAGGTCAAGAGTTTGAGACCAGTCTGACCAACATGGTGAAACCCTGTCCCTACTAAAAATACAAAATTAGCTGGGCGTGGAGGTGCATGCCTGTAATCCCAGCTACTCGGGAGGCTGAGGCAGGAGAACTGCTTGAATTCAGGAGGTGGAGGTTGCAGTGAGCCAAGATCGAGCCATTGCACTCCAGCCTGGGCAACAAGAGCGAAACTCTGTCTCAAAAAAAAAAAAAAAAATTCATAAACTCAACTATAAAAAAGAAATTTCATATGGGGAGGATAAACATATATATAATACATATATATTTTTTACATATATATACACACATATATATAGAGAGAGAGAGTCATAGTGGCCATAGCCACTATCACCAAAATATAAGACCAAAAACTGTGTGTGTATGTGTATGTGTGTGTGTGTGTGTGTTTATAAAGCACATGATCAACCATGATTTAAAAATTTACAGCATACCATGAGAAATAGAAAATTAACATAAGATTTCTCTTTACAAGAAGAAAAAGCTGGACAATCCAATAAGAGAAAAATGCATAAAGAGTATAAAAACACAGTGCAGAGAAAAAAAAAATCAAAAAACATAGTTAATAAATGAAGGTGCTCAAACTCATTCATAATAATAAAATTAATATGAAAATAGTAAATATCATTTTTCCACTTATATGGGGAAAAAAGTTTGACTATACCCATTCTTTGTTAAAGAATGATACGATTGACATAATTCTTTTTGGAGAATACCATATGGAAAGCTATTTGGTAATATCTGTGCAAAATTTTAAAGCACATACCTGGCAAGTATATTTTTAGAAATACATCTTTCTTACAAGTGTCTAAAATTTTTATGAACAAGGATATTTGTTAAGCAGTGTTTGCTTACAAAAAGAAGGGGGGTGTGGATGAGTCCTAAGTGCCCATTAATTGGAGAGTAGTCAAATAAGGTAGGAAATATTCATATAATGAAATACTAAACAGCTACATAAAGAATAAAAGAGGGCCGGTAGTGATGGCTCACACCTGTAATCCCAGCACTTTGGGAGGCCATGGTCACCTAAGGTCAGGAATTCAAGACTAGCCTGACCAACACGGTGAAACCCTGTCTCTACTAAACACAAAAAGTTAGCTGGGCGTGGTGGCATGCACCACCCAGCTACTTGGGAGGCTGAGGCAGGAGAATCACTTGAATCCAGGAGGCAGAGGTCGCAATGAGCCAAGATGGCGCCACTGCACTCCAGCCTGGGCAACAAGAGCACAACTCCATTTGAAAACAAAAAAGAATAAAAGAGAATTGTTTATACTGACATGAAAAAAAGTCCATGTATTATCAACTTTAAAAAGCCTACTTCACAGAAGTGTGCAATTCATTCAGGTAGCATGAAAGCATCTATGTACTTTGAATATCTAAAATATATGTAGAATACATAAGCATTCTTATAAGTGCATAGAAAAGTCTATAGTGTTACACACAATGAGGAATGAAATTTAGAGGACTGTGGAAGGCAAGAGACTATAATTTAGCACTTAATTCCACTTTATATGCTGTGTGACAATTTTAAACCGGGATTTGTATAGCTTTTATAATTTAAGTTGAGATAAATTACTGTCTTATTCTATACACACAAACCCCAACAAAATTAAATGTAGAACAGTCTCAGAAATAAACTAGATATATTGATGGTCCACCTTAACCAGAGAAAACTCTCTGAAAATATATGAGCTCTTTACTTGGAGAACTGTAGAACAACAGAATTGTCTAGATAAATTCTTTTTTTTTTTAATTTAAAGGAGTTTAATTGAGCAATGAACAATTCACGAATCAGGCAGCCTCCAGAATCACAGCAGATTCAGAGACTCTCCCACAAAGGCATGTGATGGAAGAAGATTTATAGACAAAAGGGAAGTGGCATGCAGAAATCGGAAGTGAGGTACAGAAACAACTGGATTGGTGACAGCTCAGCGTTTGCTTTATTTGAACACAGTTTGAACACTCGGCAATGTATGAGTGGCTGAAGTACAAAGTACAGCTGCTGGGATTGGCCAAGACTCAGCTATTGTTACGGGTGCAGACTCCTAAGTTAGGTTTTCAATCTTGTCTGCCTATTAAGTTCGGTTGTAGTTCATCTATAAGGACTCAAATATAGAAGGATGCAGGCCTTCTCAGGCCACATTTATTTTGCTTTAACAATTGCCCCCTTTTGGTCATTTTCTCAATTTTGAGAGATTGGCCAAAGCTTTAGTCATTGATGTCACTATCGCCACTGTAAATGTATTTATTTCTCTTGAAACCCACTGGGAAATAGTAGAACAGTAAGTTTTGCAAAGATAGGAACAAGGACTTGAGGAGAGGGTACCTCCTTATGCTGGAACGTCCTGTTCACAGGAGAAAAACAAAACCTAGTCTGTTCTAGGATCTATGTGCTTCCTTAAAGTCTTGGTTTGATTATGTCATATTCAGCATGAGTGACTCCATTTTGGTTTGGTTTGGTCTGTTGGGGCCTAGTGCATGAGTTCAGGCCAAAACAATGGCCTTCTGTAATTTGGTTCAAAAAAAATGACCCCTTTTTGGTCAGGTTCTCACTTAGGCGAGAGTGTGACTAAAACCTAGGGCCTTGGCACCACTCTCAGTTACCATCATTTTGGGTTTCCAATCTCAGCATGTCATTCACAGATTAAGGTGTCCTCATGATCATACATTTCTTTCAGCTCTTGGCATTCCAGTTGAAGAGAGACCATTTGGCATTCTAGAGATGGCTGTGTGCAAACATTTAAAACATTTAAGAGAACACAGCACACCAGGGAGACTACTATTATGACTATCTGGAGGATAATACCAAGAGTTTGGCGTATGCTCCTTACCCAGGGTCCCCACAAACCAAATCACCTAAAATCAAATAGATCAAAGAGTAAGTTAGATAAAGAGTCTATTCGCTTAAGTAAGCAGTCTTTTCATTAATCCCCTACCACTGAATCCCTATAATACCTGATGTATTTCTCCATAGGCCATAAGTGCCAGTAGCTGTACAGAACCTTTTCTGTTTAGCCAATTCTATTATTTAGCATAACTTTCATAAGAGAACGTGAAGTCCGTTGTGTAACCATGGCCTTTATGGTAGAATCTGCTGTAGAGCCTATCACGAGGGATACATTTCTAATCATTGCCTCTTTTATTCCAAACCATGGAAAAAAGACATAACAAATGACGGCCTTCTAAAAGATTGAATACCCTGTCTCTACTAAAAATACAAAAATTAGCCGGGCATGGTGGCAGGTGCCTGTAATCCCAGCTACTCGGGAGGCTGAGGCAGAGAATTGCTTGAACTCGGGAGGCAGAGGTTGTAGCGAGCCAAGATGGCGCCACTGCACTCCAGCCTGGGCAACAGTGTGAGACTCTGTCTCAAAAAAAAAAAAAAAAAAAAAAAAAAAGGATTGAATGCCTCCTGGCAAGGTTCTCTTTAACTCATGATGAGGAGTGAATTGATGTTCTGTTTCTGACTGATTATGAGGCAACATGTACCACTAAAGTTTCTCACCTGCACTGGGCCTTTATCTTTTATCTATCAAAGTATAAGCTTATCCATGTATAAGGCTGGCTGCAAAATCCTTCACAAAAAACACAGAGCCCATAAGTTTGCACAACAGACCCTCTTTTCATTTCTATTATTCATAGAGGCATAGATAAGGAAAAATATTCAAAGATAAGAGTCTCATAATAGCAGAGAAGTCTTGATCCATGATCTTGGGAAAAGCTGTTCACATCAAGGATGCCACCTTCTTCCTGGGAAACACTTTCCTGATTAGCTTTTCGTTAACAGTTCTAAGATTGTGAGGGACCCTTCTCAGTTGTGAGATTAAGAACCCAAAGTTCAAGGTTCCACAGTTTTGTTGCAGTGTGGATGGCCAGGGCAGTCTTTCTCTGATATTCCCAGAAGATCCAGTCTTCGCGTTCTAGATTGTGAAGAGACTGACTGTCCTCAGTGAACCTTATAAAGTTTTCTTTACCTGGGGAAAACACACTGTGTCATAATAATCTACTGTTACAACAACAGCCCGCCGGCATGGGAGAGCTTCTATACAACCAGAAAACATGCATTGAAAATGACAATTAAATGAAATCCCTTTATAAATCTTTAAATGGCCCATATCAGATAACCAAACATACCTGAAGCTTTGATTGTTTTCCCGGGAATATGGATTTGACAAATCAAACATTGGTTATAAACTGTTGTAGCAATTTATAAGTCACCACACCAATATATTTAATTTGGGTCATTTTATCTTGTCCATGATGAGTCGTGGAAAAGGTCTTCGTTGACGGACTCAGGAAGGACAAGGCAGCTGTTTTGGTTCTCCATGAGTTCCTGCTTAATTAACATTAGACCTATATCCTCTTGAATACCAGTTGTTTCTCCAAATTAGGTGTATAGCACTGATAACTGAGGGGTTAGCATAGGTAATTTAACTTAGACCATGGAGTTCATTCAAGTCATTCAAGTGGTATATCTAAACAATTTTAGTTTTAGGTGAGTTAGCATAAAAATCTGGCAAAGTATTTCCTTGGTATTCAATTAATTTTTGTTCTATTTGGGTTGGCAGTTCTATAAACCAGTCAGTGTTTTCATTTAAGTTTTAGGAATTGTTACCCAGTCCAATTCTTGTGGAACTGGGGAATTCACAGGGAATTCTTACCCATGATACTATGTTAAAGTTATTAGAAACCTGTATTCAAGAGAGTTTTTCAGGGTCCTTCCCATCCTTTCACGAACCGCCTAAAAGACACCATATTCTAGGATTTCTGCATGCTTGTGAAGTTTTCAGAAACTACATCAGCATTAAGCAATTAACTGTGGAAATGACTTGAAACAGTTACAGTTGGCAGGGCGCAGTGGCTCATGCCTGTAATCCCAGCACTTTGGGTGGCCAAGGCGGGAGAATCACCTGAGGTCAGGAGTTTGAGATCAGCCTGGCCAACATGGCAAAACACTATCTCTACTAAACATACAAAAATTAGCCAGGCCCGGTGGCAGGCACCTATAATCCCAGCTACTCAGGAGGCTGAGGCATGAGAATCACTTGAACCCGGGAGGCGAAGTTTGCAGTGAGTCAAGATCGTGCCACTGCACTTCAGCCTGCGTGACAGAGCGAGACTCCATTTCAAAAAAAATAAAAATAAAAATAAAGTTACAGTTAAAGACACAATTGACAAGGGAATTTGGTTATTTCTGTGGTCCACAATAACTTAACATAATAACCATAATTATGATTGATAGCATATACTCGGACATATTAGAATTTTAGAAATCCCATATATTTTTGGAACATATTGATGACATACACTAAAATATAACCTGAAGAAGGTTAAATATTGTCTTTTATTCTGACAATGCTTCCCAAGTAACTTAACAAGCCCAATAGCCCTGTTTACCTCTTTTGGATGCTTCAGGAGCCTTCTGTAGCCTTCCAAAGTTATAGGTCAGCAAAGACAATCTTGAAGCTGAAATTTGATTTGGGGAAGCCTATCAAATATGTTAAAGGTTTTTAAATTATTATTTCATTTTGTTTTAAGTTCTAGGGTACATGTGCGGAACGTGCAAGCTTGTTACATAGGTAAATGTGTGCCATGGTGATCTGCTGCACCTATCAATCCATCACCTAGATATTAAGCTCAGCATGCGTTAGCTATTTTTCCAATGCCCTCCCTTCTCCCACCTCTCTGTCTAGATAAATTCTTAAAACCTCCAGAAAGTTTCTAGCATAAACATATCTGGCTTGTTTTCTCGGGTGTATTTTTTCGTATTTTATTAATTTACTTATGAATATTTCCACCCTGTTCCTAAAAGCATTTGAGAATTTATTAAATTTATTTAAAGAATTTTTTTAAATTTTTATTTATTAAAAGAATGTATTAAAATGTGTATAGATACTTCTATAAGATTAAAAATGAGAAAATAAAACAGGGAAATATGTAAGGTAAAATAAATAAAGTCAGAAATAGCGTTACTAGGGGAAAAAAATGTATGTTAAACATCTTGATGTCTCCATAGCTTTGTATATCTCAACATCTCTGCAAACAGGGAAACACAATAGTTTCAAACCTCATAGTCCTCATAAAATCAAAGCAAACCAACTTTTTACAAGAGCACCAGGAGGACACAATGGGGAAATGATAGTCTTTTCAATAAACGGTGCTGGGAACACTGGATTTTTATATACAAAAGAATGAAATTGGACTATTATCTGATAACATACACAAAAATAAACTCGAAATGGATAAAAGACCAAAATACAAGACCAGAAACTATAAAACCCCTGGGAAGAGAACATAAGGGAAAAGTGCCTGGACATTGACCTTGGCAATGATTTGTTGGGTATCACACCAAAAGCTCAGGGCACAGAAACAAAAATAAATAAATGGGACTCCATCAAACTGAAAAGCATCCGCACAGCAAAAGAAACAATTCACAAAATAGAAGGGCAGCCTAACGATAGGGAAAACGTATTTGAAAATCATATATCTGATAAGGGGTTAAAATAAAAAATGTATAAAGTACTTATAAAACTCAATAGTAGAAAAACAAAAACAAATTTAAAAATGGGCAAAAATCTGAATAGCTATGTCTCCCAAGAAGACATAAAAATGACCAAAAGGTATATGAAAAGGTGCTCAACATCATTGATCACCAGGGAAATGCAAACCAAAACCCCTGTGAGATACGACCCCATGCCCATTAGGACGGCTGTTATCAGAATCAAAAGATAACAAACGTTTGTGAGGGCATGAGAAAAAGAGAACTTTGATACGCTGTTGGCGGGAATGTATGGTGCTACAGCCATTATGGAAAACAGTCTAAAGGTTACTAGATAAATTAAAAATAGGAAATGATGCAGGATTTTTCCCAGCACCTTCTTTGGACTCATGACAGGTGCAAACGTTTACTCAGCCCACCACGCTCAGCCCCTTGCGGGAGGGAGTATGTGAGCCAGCGAGTGCGGGACCCGGCCAGCTTCTCCAGGCGCCGCACATGGGCGGACCAGGTGCAGGTGAGCAAGTGCAGGACCTTGTGGGTCGCTCAGGGCCCCAGCAGGAGCAAGCTCTATTTCCTCGGCCTGAGGTGGCACCCTAGTGGGGATGCCTTCGACCCCCAAGGCCCAAAGGCTGTGTTACAATGCTGTCTTAGCTCCACTGTCCATGAACAGTAGTGTGTTATCAGCTCAGTTGGCCCCTTGCCTCGTTGGTGGGTACCAAGCTCTTGTCCAGCATCCAAGAAGAATGAGGTTGTGTGGACACTTGAAGGATGGTGAAGGCAGAGAATTTTATTTAGCAATGGAAATGGCTCTCTGCAGAGAGGAGAGCTGGAGAAGGGACAGGACAGAGTAGGAAATGGGAAGATGTAGATCAGAAAATACAAATTAGCAGAGGTATAGGATGAACAAGTGCGGACATCAAATGTACAACACGGGGACTATAGGTAATAAAATTGTACTGAATATGGGAAAAATTAAATAAGTGTGAAAATCACACAAAAGGTAATCAAGGAGGAAAATAAATGAGATCAGAAATAATGTTAGGAGAAAAAAAAAATGTATGTTATACCACCTTGGTGTCTCCATAGCTTTAAATATCTCTGAAAATAGGGAAACATAACTGTTCCAGACTCCACAGTGCCCATCAAATCAAAGCAAATAATTATTTAGGAAGAGCCCAGTTAACTGAGGGTGGTGATTCCTGAGAGTAACAAGGTTCTCAAGAAATTATACAAAAATGAGTTTTACAGAGTAGTATCTACTGGGTTATGGAAAATAGAGGAAAAAAAGATTTTGTTCTGTATCTTTTAGTATGGGATCTTTTTCAAAGCAACAAAACAGGCATGAACTGCCTACTTCATAGTCACAGTGTGCAATTTAGATGGCTAAAATCACAAAGAATGCCTAAGACAAAACAGTTTTTGCTAACCTGCTATCCCCAGCACCGAGCATAGTGCCTGACACATAGTAAACATTCAAAAAAGTATTTTATAGCAGTGTTAAAACATGATGAACTTGGACTTCATGTAGACATCCTGTAACTGTTTTCCGTGATGCTTTTAATCCGTTACAAACTGGACTGCCAAGCGAGAAAATACACAAAAGAAGCTTGGAATTTCTTTCAAAACATACTCCCTTTCTCTATTTGCTCTGGGAGTTGGGAGGTGGGTGCAAAATCGTTAAAAGATAAGTTTTCTGGCATGAAACCAGGAAAAGTTTAAAAGGTGCTATTGTACAGCTGTCAGCTCAAGGAACTGTGCTGCAGAACTAATAAGAAAGATATGGGAAACCCGTGATTTAATCAGCTACAGACTCATTACTCATGGTACCTGCAGGGAGAAGCATCCATCAGGGTGTCAGGTATATGTTCCATAAAGGGAGGGGACATTTAGCAACTGGGCAAAAGTTGAAGGTGGGAGCTGTCATTTACCCACATACTTCTCACTGGGAGAAACTTCATGCTGGTGGCAGCTGCACCACTTCACCTCCTTTGAAAATAAAGAAGTAGTTCCACCGGGGTCACCCAAAGCATTTCGCAGAGGACTGACATACACTGCCTATATACTCTCTTTTCACCCTCTGGCCACAAAACTCATTATATAACAATCAGATGCCTTACACTCCAAGGAACTGATTTGACATTCACCTATTAACTTAGCAGCCCTTCCAAACTGGAGGGCAGGGAACACATGTGCATGGCTGTCTAACAGAGGCGTTTAGCGCAAAGGTGAGTGCATCAGAATGAAGGGGTCACTGATGGAGAAAGGAAACTAGAAGCATCTCAAAGCAGCCACCCTCCAATACTAACCAATCCTTACTGCCATCTCTAGGACACAAACAAGGTAGGAAGGATGATAAGACAGGTGAAATTACTAAACTGGCTTCTGGTAGTATGTTCTTGTCCTTTTCAAGTAGTGGACTGAATTAGCACAAAAATGGAGCTCCTTGCATCTAGTTGGTGAAACCAGGCTGTATGCCCTCATATGCCCTCCGCCTAGAAAGAACACACCCACACCGACAGGGTGGACTGCACACCAAGCAACCCTGGGCTTCCTTTTTCATTTTTCATACTTCCAGTTCTTTCCTTCCCAGCTAGATTGCAAGTCTGTGCCATCTCTTTCTTTTGCATCTCTCTTATCATGGAAGAGTCTTGAATAAGCTAAAGATGATTCAGAAATTATTAGTCCTTTCTGAGCAGTTAATTGAACATGTCAGACCACACCATAGAGACCAACCAAAACAGGAATTTACCCTCTTTTTAAAGATATCCAAAGAACAAAATTCTACATATTTTATTCTCTAATCCAATTGAAAATCTTGGATAGAAAAATCAAAGTTCCAAAACTATATCACATGAGGAGGGGGACATGCAAGGGGGAGACTAAAGATGGGTAAAGAATGTAATAAAAAGGTCAGGCGTGGTGGCTCACGCCTGTAATCCCAGCACTTTGGGAGGCCGAGGTGGGTGGATCACCTGAGGTCAGGAGTTCAAGACCAGCCTGGCCAACATGGTGAAACCCCGTTTCTACTAAAAATACTAAAAAGCTGGGCGTGGTAGTGCACACCTATAATCCCAGCTACTTGGGAGGCTGAGGCAGGAGAATCGCTTGAACCCAGGAGGCGGAGGTTGCAGTGAGCTGAGATCCTGCCACTGCACTCCAGCCTGGGCAACAAAGCAAGACTCTGTCTCAAAAAAAAAAAAAAAAAAAAGGAATGTAATAAAAATTGACACCCCTTTCCCCAGGAAATCAATGCTTAAGTTGGTCTCCCTTTACAGATAGACAGAGCCAGCTACGAACTATGGAGCTCAAAGAGGAATGAAACAGCAGGAGCAGAGCTGTGACTGGAATGGGAAAGTCAGTCGGGTAGGCCCAAGGCTCTTGCTACCAAATAACTCCCTGTCCTTTCTACCTGAAACCTCAGCTCCTACAAAACAGTGTACAGACACCCCAAGAAAGTTCCCTTCTGCCAACAGTATCTCTTGCTAGACATAAACACCCACTTTCAAAGCTTGAAATTTATTAGCACCCAAATGATGTTTATTACCCTGCAGCTTGTGATCCTGTCATGGATTCTATCAGCCAGGGAGACTGGATTAATTCACATACCTCGGCATTTACGGCTCTGAAGTGAGCCAGTGTTCAAAAAGCGTGCTGAGGACAGATGGAGTTTCTGGACCCACAGGTGGATGAGCTTTGCTGGGGCAGGAAGGCCCTGGTCCTGGCTGAAAGAACACCTAGGACCAAGGAGAGAATGCAAAATGATGAAGCAGGAGACTGCACCACACCCAGCAGCCAACCAGAGAAGAAAAGGAACAAAATGCTGGGCAATCAAATACCAGAAAAAAAGCAGCGAGATTTTTCATTGAAATAAAACTGCAAAAAAAAAAAATCAGTGTCACTGGAATTTATTTCTAAAGGAACTTTCTGAGTAATCTATATGCAAATATAAGAGGAATTAATTTTTTAAATTGAGAGTTTTAAAAAGCATTTTTTAATACTAGAGATGTGTACATTTTTGTAAAGCAATTTCAACATCTGCAGACGTGACCAGAACACTTCAAGAGAAAATGAAAATTTAAATACACACTGAAGGTTATTCAGTGGGTTAGGAGTTCAGGGAAAGAGAAAGAAGCAGAGAGCCCAGTGAAATGTATATAAATTCTAAACCTCCCAAAATATAGGTGGGAAAAAAATAGCAATCATTTTAGTCTTTTGTTATCATTTTCTGCGGTAGTTCTTATTTTTTGTTAACTATTGTTTGTTGTTATAAAGAAAATACAACGTGACAATGACAAACAAGGCATTTATATGATAAGCTCTGGCCTTTGTCTTTGGGTGCTAGCTCTGAAACAGGAATAATTGTGCTGGGTGTCTGTTGGAAGGCAGTTTGATAGGGGGACTTCTAGATGTGCCTCCCTAAGTGATGTGTGTGTCCAAGTCCCATCGACGTGGTCCTTCCTTTAGTTTGCCCATTTGTGGTCCCCACTGTTGTAGATTATAGGCAGTTGGTTTCAGGTTATTTATTAATTCTGGAGCTATAATAAAGCACTGTTTTCTAAAAAAAAAAAAAAAAAAAGAAAAAGAATCTACTTTCTCTCTTGATTGCGATCCTTCCCAACAGTTACCCTCTCCCCAGCTGCTAGCAAGTGAATAAATTATATTTATTAATAAGTTTCTGTTTGCACTTTCTTTTACGTAGTTTTTCACCTTCAGAAATTCCAGCAATATTAACAACTATTATATCTGAGTGTTCTAAGATTCAGACAAAGATTGAGATAGGTTCAATTATCCATTTCTTGGCTCAGCGTAATCCCACTTGCCAGATGCCAGTCTATATATTCTTTTCTGGTAGTCATGCTATTTTCTCAACTCTCTGCTTTGCATTTTAAAGTGACATCCTGGAAGAAATTAACCACCAGGTGGGTGATGAGAGAAAACCTTTGTTTTAGTTTGAAATCTGGATTCAGCCAAGTCTTTGGAAAATTCAAATCCGATGATTACCTAAATAGCTAAGGGGAAAGGATACTCATTGCCTTTATAACCTGGGTAATTGATATGATTGCCAGCAGGTTCTTGAATGTCCACGGGGTGCACATCCATACGGAAAGACAGATTCAGCCTTGGCGCTTAGACTGCTAATGAGAATGCCTGCAGTGGAGTCTGAATTACCTCTCCTCTGACCCTAATTCTCTCCCTTTCTCTCCTAGTGGAGACCTGGCCCTGTGCTTTCTGATACAGTGCTGGTCTCTGCAGGACAATGATAGAGTCCCTGGGAAGGCGAGAAAGGACACCCAGGGCTGGGGTGTGAGCGAGCTGGGGAAGCAGGCCCCTCTGCTGTGGAACTCCAGAAGCAACTGCGGGGCGCCTGCGGCAAAGCACTTAACCTATTTGTGTCTCCATCTCCCATTTGTAAATGGGGTAATTATAACCTCTCTGCCTTCTGGGGCTCTTGTGAGTCTCCATTAAAGTTCGTAAATCACTTTGAAGATGGGAGTCATTGGGGGTTGCCCCGGCAGGTGGAAGATCTCTGGCCCCAGTCCTCCTTCAGTGTTTCCAGGCAGCTGGCTTCGTCTTGGAGGAGATACGAGTAACATTCTTTCTGCTCCCTTTTTCTACCAGCACTGAATTTCCACAGCGAAACATATTCACCCTTTTCCCTAAATATCTGTGTTCCCAGTGCTACACGTTTTCATAGCAATGCAGAAAGTATTAATAATTTTGGATATAATCAACAAAATTAACACCTTTGTAAAACTCCCACCAAGGCTGTGGAACTATCACCAGTAATTACTTCCATGCATCAGCGTATGTCCATGCTATGTCCAGCGTGTATTTCCATGAATTCAGAAACGGATGAATCTTGAACACTATCTCTTAGTGAGCCTAACATCTAAATCAATTAACCTTTAAAGAGATAAAATAGCCACACATTTTTAAGTTGCACAAACATCTATACATATACACACAGATGTGAAGCAAACTCTTAGGTTATATTCTTACCTTTTTTTTTTTTTTTTTTTTTTTGAGACAGAGTTTCGCTCTTGTCACCCAGACTGGAGTGCAATCGCACGATCTTTTCTCACTGCAACCTCTGCCTCCTGGGTTCTAGCGATTCTCCTACCTCAGCATCCCAAGTAGCCGGGAGTACAGGCGTCTGCCACCACGCCCAGCCAATTTTTGTATTTTTAGTAGAAACCGGGTTTCGCCATGTTGGCCAGGTTGTTCTCAAACTCCTGACCTCAGGAGATCCATCCACCGCTGCCTCCCAAAGTGCTGGGATTACAGGTGTGAGCCACTGCGCCTGGCCCTTACGTATTTTTTTAATCCAGAATTTTAACTTTTTATTTAAAAGCTTTTTTTAATTGACGCATAGTATGTTCATAAATATGTACATATTCATGGAGTGCACAGCATTGTGATGATGTGTGTAATGTAAGGATCAGATCACAATAATTCGCATATCCATCATCTCAAACTTTTATCGTTTCTTTGTATTGGGAGCATTCAAAATCCTCCTAGCTATTTGGAACTATCTCATATTTTACTGTTAACCACAGGCACCCTACAGAGCTGTGGAACACCAGAACCTATCCCTCCTGTCTAGCTGTAGGCTTGTATCCTTTTAAAAACCCACTGTAGTGTTAAAAATATCTCACAAGAACCACATTTTTAGGGATGCATTAGCTTACTTTGGCTGCTTTTTAAAAGATTCATACACATGAAGTTTTTTAAAAATAAACTTCTCTAGAAACCATTTGACTTGAATGACGATCAGTAGGGAGCTAGTTACATAAATTGTGGTACACCCAGGGTCTATGAGTTGTGTATGTCTAGTCACACACATGCATGCACACAGAATGCAATTCTAGATATATTTAAAACTTTTTTAGACAGTGTAGACTAGAACTTACGATAGTTTAATATTTATGTTTTAAAAAGAGATACATATTACACATGATAAAAATGAAAGAATACTACAAATTTTTATATGTAATAAAAGGGGTATTTTATGTATGTATGTGTAATATAGTATATACACAAACTGTCTCTGGAAAAAACCAGTAACAGTAGTTTCTTCCAGAAAGTTATACTAGGAAACTTAGACTAATGGTTGCAGGCAAAAATCTAAGAATTAATGTATATTTTCTTTGGGGTTGTTTAATATTTTTTATTAAAAGAACACACCACTGTTCTAATTTTTAAAACTTGTGTCACACTAGTATGCGTTGTTATGTGATTAGGATCGTATGATATTTTAACTTTTTTTGTTTGTTTTGTTTTGTTTTGAGACAGAGTCTCGCTCTGTCACCCAGGCTGGAGTTCAATGGTGGGATCTTGGCTCACTGCAGCCTCTGCCTCCCGGGTTGCAGGGATTCTCTTGCCTCAGCCTCCCGGGTAGCTGGGACTACAGGTGCACGCCACCACGCCCAGCTAATCTTTGTATTTTTAGTAGAGACAGGGTTTCACCATGTTGGCCAGGCTGGTCTCAAACTCCTGACCTCAGGTGATCCACCTGCCGCGGCCTCCCAAAGTGCTGGGATTACAGGCTTGAGCCACCGCCCCTGGCCAGTATTTGATCTTTAAAACATAGATGTTTTACAGCGTATACTGTTAAGGAAAATGCCAACTACTAGAAAGTAAATTGGTGTCACTGTATTTTTAAATTGCCTGCCTACTACAGGATGTGAATAGATTGCAAAATAACAACCCAAATGTGTTCAAGTGAGTTACAAAACTTGCTTTGGCCCAAAAAGATACAGACACCCATTGGCGAATAGGTAATATATGCGTTACCTGTTGTAATGAAAGTACACTTAGGCAATTACTTTATACCCCTTCCCTGAAATTAGTCTCCTGGTGGATAAGAAAAAGGCCTTATTCATCTAATTCCCCCCAAAAGTCTAGCTCAATACCTGGCAAATATTAATAGTAGGTGTTCAAAAAATATTTATCAAATAAATAAATTAGATTCACAGCTTGATTTCTTGTCTTTTATAACTAGTTTCTTTGATGCTGAACTTTTCAAAACCTTTAGTAAATAATTGCACATCATAAATTGGATGAGGTAAATATAATACACAGCATTTGCCAAATTTGTTTCACCATGAAAAGCAAAACATTTTCTCCACAAAGTCCCTTGCAAGACTAGTAGTAATGAAGCCTAGATAAATAAAACTGGAAAACATTGCGTTGGCTTTTAATTTACACCTCTCTGTCTCCTAAAAACCAAGGGCAGCAGAGGCCATTAGTGCTCACTGAATATTCCTGGGCTCCCTGCATGTCCCATACTTCCATATTTTGGGGTCTGGGGCACATGATTGCATCCGGCAAACAGGAATATGAGAGCAATTGATGTACCATTTCCATTGCAAGGCCCTTGGGAGCCAGTGTGTCTCCTTCATCTTTCTTATCTCTTGCTAGAACAACTCTGAAAGTCAAGTGTGGAGATGATGGCCTCACAAGTTAAAGGAAATCGCGGAAATCTCCTGTCAATTCACATGAGAGTTTGTAGTGAGCAAAAAATATATTTTTATTGTGCTAAGCCACTGAGATTTTAGAGTTATTAGTTATGACAACATAATTTAGCCTAACCTGACTAAACATATGACTTCATTGTCATGGCATATCCTCATATGACAATTATATAGTGAATGCCTACTACGTGTCAGATGAGATCTTTGAGGCACCTTCTGAAAGTATATTTATAAAGTATGAAAAGAGAAATTAAAGAAACAAAATATGTACAAGGAAAAGTGAAGGGATGAACAGCCTCAGTCACTCAAGTCCTGTAACTTGATGCTTTTCATCTTTGCAAGTCTAGTAATTTCAGAAGAATTTGTCAAATTTTTATGTATAAAAATGCAAATTTCCCCCAAA